TTGAAAGTACTACATTTGTCCCCTTTTTTTTCCTCCCATTGATCCCTTCTAGCTCACCCCAACCCCCTGCCCAGGCTCACAGCAGTTTCTTAAGAGTAAGATTTTAGAAATAAGGTTGCTGAAACCAGTTTGGCTCAATGGTAGAGCATCGGTCTGCGGACTGAAAGGTCCCAGGTTCGATTCCGGTCAAGGGCATGTACATTGGTTGCGGGCACATCCCCAGTAGGGAGTGTTGCAGGGGGCAGCTGGTCGATGTTTCTCTCTCATCGACGTTTCTAGCTCTCTATCTCTCTCCCTTCCTCTCTGTGAAAAATCAATAAAATATGTTTTTTTTTAGAAGATTTTAGAAATACCCTTAATCTACAAAACTAAGGGAATGATTAAGCAATTTATAATATTCTAGTCAATGGAGCAACCATTACAATTATTTACCAGGAGATTTTAATAACATCCAACAGCAGACTACAGAATTGTATATATCTACCACAAGCACAACTTTAAGTTTTTTTGGTCTTTTAAAATTACACACACATAAAATCAAAGTCTGGAAGGAAAATATTCAAAATTAATAGTAGTTATTTGATGGGTAATAGCCTTTTGAGAGATTTTTATTTTTCATATGGTTTATATTTTTTTTAATTTTCCCTGGAAAATTATTACCATAATTAAAAATGCATGTGTGTTTGTATATATTTTAATGTAATCATTCAACACTTCAGCTGTTTGGAACTCAGCTATCTTAAAAATCTGGAACATTGCTAAGATCCTGGAAGTAATAAAAAAAAAATTAATTCTGAGCAGCCAAAACTAATGTTACAAAACTTATAATAAAGCTTATTATACCCAGGACATCTGCTGGCCCCTCGCTCCAATCCTATTTACTCTCACTTTGCACACAATTCTTAGGACATCTACTTCACAAGGACACGGTGTATTAGAAGCAAACATTAGAAAAAGAGAACCCTGCAGCGAGAGGTGGATGTAGCCACACTGCCCGTGACAGTGAGAGGACATGGCGAAGCTCCAGTGCAGAACTCTCAGACTCATGTTCTAAGAAACAGCCACTGAAAATCCGATAGTCTCTTTTCTGTGTCATAGTTTACTAATACATGTTCATAGTGATGGCCCAGAGCTATGAAGATGACTTTATTACCCCTGGCCAGTGTGGCTCAGTTGGTTGGGCATCATCCCATACCCTGAAAGGTTCCCTAATCAATTTCTGGTGAGAGCACATGCCGAGATGTGGGCTTTGGATCCCCCATAGGGGGCGTGCAGGAGACGTGATCGATGTTTCACTCACATCGATGCTTTCTCTCTCCCCCCTCTCTCTCTCTCTCTCTCTCACTCTCTCTCTCTCTCTCTCTCTCTCCCTCTCCCTCTCTCCCTCTCTCTCCCTCTCCCTCTCTCCCTTTCCCTCCCACTCTTTCTAAAAATCAATTAAACAAAGATACCCTTTTTGTTCAGCTTACTCTTTTTAAGATTTTAAGAAATACTTTAAGAAAAATTTTGGTAAGGTTTTATTGCACATGGCTAAAATTGATAAAAAAATAAAAAAAGACAGACATGGCGATTAAAGGGTAAACTTTAGATATGTAGACTTCTTTATTGCCTATCCATAAGAACGCATTTTCTAACCCTCTTTAAGAGGGAACATTTTACTGTTACTGGAGTTTTCCAAATTGTAACTCAAGCTATCATTACCTGGATTCTCATAAAAATCCAAGGAAACAGGAGAAGAATGTCATGAAATCGGATGTCAGAAAATATCAGTCTCTCCCTCTCAAACGCCTAAGAATACACCCTTTAAAACTGAAGTAACACCCTGGAGCTTAGATAGACACTGAGTGGCCCGATTATTATTATCTCTGAACGAATAATAATCTGGCCACTCAGTGTATATCCTATATAATAAAAGGCTAATATGCAAATTGTCCCCTTGACCAGGAATTCAACCGGCAGGCAGGCCATCCACTCATGTCTCCTCCCCCTGACCAGGCTGGCTGGACCCCACCCATGCACGAATGCATGCACCGGGCCTCTAATACACACACACACACACACACACACACACACACACACACACGTGTTCAGAGATCATAATAATCTGGCCACTCAGTGTAGGTTGGACGATTGTGCACTGCTGACAAAAGTTCAATGAAAAGGCCTGTAGAATGGCATGTACTGGTAGCTTGAAGTCTGGCATATCATTGATTTTTAACAAATGTTAGTTGAATTTGAATATGATTTCTCCCAGGTGGGATGAGACAGACTGTGTGGGCTCTCGAGTCAGACTGAATCTAGTTCAGATGTGGTTTCTGCACCTTAAACCACAGAACCCACTCATCCCCCTTTTTCACAGGGTGGATGTGAGTGTTCAGCATTATGGATGCTCAGGAAAATGGGAATTCCCTTCCCATTATAGTTGCCAGAAGGGATGTCACACTTTATTACTTTTCTGTTGTGCAGTGCTGAGGAGTCTTCAGGGAGTCTCGGAACCCTAGGGCAGCGGTCTCCAGCTTTTCGGACCTACAGACCACCGGTTGGCGACCGCTGCTCCAAAGGATTCCTTAAACCGTCAGCCGCCAACCTCACGGACCACCAGTGTCCACGGGCCATCGGTTGGTGACCGCTGCCCTAGAGGACTACAAAACCCCTTTCCATAAGCACTGCTGCCGCACCCTGGTCCATTTCTCTGCCTCCCATCAGCCTCGGAGGGAAGCAGGGCAGGCTGGTGTGGGGAGAGGGAGGCCATGGCATTCACCCTTCATAACCAAGGGTGGTGAGCACCTGGCGTCTAGCTCCATGCCAGCACTGTCACCTCCACTGTCCCAGGCTGGTTCACCTGTGCTTCCCACGCTCCTCGGCTGGGTGAGAGCTGCTCAGAATAGACGGTGGGTAGTGCCGATGCTCTGTTTCGGTCTGACTGCCTCGGCTCCCTGCAAAATCACTCGGAGAGGGGCAGGCGACAGGTGGGAGAGTGAAAACTACCAGGTTCACAAAAATGTGTGGCTTACCCGGTTACTGCGAGTTTTGATAACATGTTAACTGAAAACCTAGATTAAGGCCAGCAGGTTTTGCTCTGTTTTGTTTTGTTTTTCTTGGGAACTAAAAACAGTAATTTGCCAGTGTGCTTGCCCGGGTCTGTGCACCCCACTGGCCACCCCCAATTATGAAATCTCTCCTGGCACCAACACTTAGAGCTACACAAGGTTATCTGACAGGCCTGGGGATTAGCAGCCTTGTGGTTGCCTTTTCTCAAGAAGCATAAGCCTTGTTTAGGTGTCTGAGACCACAGGGATAATCCAGCATCGGCGAGAAAGGAAAAGAAAAAAAAAAAAACACGAGAGAAGGAGCAGGGAGGGAGCTGGTTCAAGGGCTTGTAGCTGTGGACACAGGTAGAAGGAACCCTCGATCCTTTCTTTTTTTTCAAGACACATCCCTGTTGCGATTTAGAAGTGTTTTACTCAGTCATTATGGATGGCTTTCTCCTACCAGCTCGGAAGCTCCTCAGAGGCAGATCTACTCCGTCCTGCATTTGTTTCCTGTCCCCCAGGCCGGGCACATGGAGTAGCTGTTCATTGGGCAGGCTAGTCTCAAGTCTAGCCTCCGCTCATGCCTAGTAGTTGCCCTTGTGCAAACAGCTTCTGTGTATGTGTGTTTCCTCACTAAAGAACACACGAGTCTAACGGGTCTTGTGTTTTTACCTCCCTCTGTCTGGACCCAGTCTGTTTCTATGGCTCTATTGCAGCTGACTAGCTTCATCCAAGTATAATGTTAAGAACTGTGATCAGTCCTCTAAGGTGGTTTTACTAGCACAGTGTATAATAGCATGACCATTATTCCCAGGGTCTGAATCCTCTCTTTCCATTCACTAATTGTTATTTATTTTTTTGAACTTAAGAGTAGTAATGTATACTCTGCTTTCTTGACAGGGTTTTTGTGAGGACCAAATGAAATGATGAGTATGAAATTACTTTAGAAACTAAAATTTGTATCGCTTGGGAGTGATTATTATTGCTGGCCCGAAGTATCTTCTTGAGAATTAACTCAAGTCTGAAAGAAGGCACTTAAAGCCAAACTTATAATACACGTGTGACCAGCCTTGTAAAGGAGATTAAGTTTTTATTAAAATATATGTATATCCTTGACCCACTCTCTGTCAGTTCTCTAACCCAAGATGATTAGCATTTGGGTATTGGAAAAGCTATTGATCATCACATCAAGAGTCACAAGTGCTGGTCTGGCCTCGCCATGGCTTCACTGCAGTACCATGAGCAAGTCACTAAGCTTCGCTGCCAAATAAGGATACCTGCTTCACGGAGATAAAAGAAGTTGAATATGAAAAAAAGAATAAGAATATGGCCCAGCTGGCATAGCTCAGTGGTTGAGCATCTACCTATGAACCAGGAGGTCAGGGTTCGACTCCCAGTCAGGGCACATGCCCGGGTTGCCGGCTTGATCCCCATTGTGGAGCCTGCCGTAGGCAGCTAATGAATGATTCTCTCTCACCACTGATTTTCTCTCTCCCCCCTTCCCTCCTTCCCGCCCTCCTTCCTCCTTACTCTCTGAAATCAATTTTTAAAATATATGTTTTTTCTTTAAAAAAAAAAAAAAAAAAAAAGAACAAGAATATGGATAGCCCTTCAGATGTATAAAGTTGGTTGCATCCTTTATATATTGTTCTTTCCAGATCCAGTCCCTCCAGTTACTGCAGCTCTTCCCTGTATGACATGGTTTCCAGCCCACGTCCTACCCAGGTGTTCTCCTCTGCCTGGGTTTCATTTTGTCTTGAATCTTCTTGAAGGACGCTCCCAAAGTTGAACTCAGAATGCTTTGGGTTGTTTCTTCCCTTCGGACACTACAGTTTGTACTAAGAATAATTATTACCCATTTTTATTAACTCAAACCTGAGCATGCCATTTCAACTGTTTCTGGATCCAGAAGGCTTAAACCGAGTTCTGAAGTTGGAAATTGATTTCTCGTTTTTGTTTGTCTTCCAGCGACAGACATCACACCTCCAGTGCCATTCCTGTTCCAAAGAGGCAAAGCTCCATATTTGGGGGTGCAGACGTAGGCTTCTCCGGGGACATTCCTTCGCCAGACAAAGGACACCGAAAACGGGCCAGCTCAGAGAACGAGAGACTCCACTACAAAACCCCTCCTCCCAGCTACAACTCCGCAGTCGCCCAGCCTGGGCCCACCGTCCTCTCCCTGGGAGAGCCCGAGAGAAAGACAACATCCCTGTCCTCCTCCTTGGATACCTCCTTGGACTTCTCCAAAGAAAACCAGAAAAAGGGAGTCGATCTGGGCACCAGCTTAAGTGCAGGCCCCGAGAGTGTGAGCACTGGCCGGGAACCAGGAGAAGCCCTCCCCGGGCCTCCAGCCACGGTGAACAGCTCCCTCCTGCCCGGCGAGCAGGCGGGCCCCGCCAGCGCCCAGCGGCCCGGCGAGCTTCCCCCGGGCTCCGAAGCTGAGCCCTGCTGCGCCGTGGAGCAGGCGGAGGAGATCATCGGGATGGAGGCCACAGGTTTCACCTCCAGTGACCAGCTGGAGGCATTTAACTGCATCCCCGTGGACAGCGCTGTGGCCGTGGAGTGTGACGAACAAGTTCTGGGGGAATTTGAGGAGTTCTCCCGGAGGATCTACGCACTGAACGAAAACGTGTCCAGCTTCCGCCGGCCACGCAGGAGCTCTGATAAGTGAAGCGAGCAGAGGGACAGGAGGTCCAGGACGGGGCTACTGCCTGACGCGAGGATAGAGCTGCACGGGTTACCCTTTGTAATAATTATGAGACGAATAAATATTGATGGAGGATATTCCTCGGGAACATAGACTTTGTGAGTGGAAGAGGGACTCAGGACCATTGTGTATCGGTGGGCCAGACAGAGTTAGATTTCGCCTGCGGGATTGGCTTTACAGGCCTGACTGTTGTTTGAAGGCAACAGTCACTCTCTAGCTTGAGTCACCTTATAGGTATTTGTCTGCTTTTTTATTTACTCTTCTATGTTATCCCCAGAGGGAAGATGATAATATATAAAGAAATATAATGAACTCACCTTTAGTTTCTCAAGCATTTGCCCTCACCAGTTTATAAAACTTTGGGGAAAAAATTGAATATGTAGAAAAAGATTTCTACCGTTTACTGAAGGATCTTTGGCCATTCGTTAGGCTGATGAATAAGAAGCACAATAGTCTCCTTAAACCCAGGCCATCTGCCCCTCCCCCTGCCCCCACGCCCCACAGGCAACCGAGAGACTCCACTGCAGCAGCGGGTGCATTTCGCGCCCTGAAAAAAGGACGTCAGGTTCACGGGTTCTTAATACAGTCTCTCTGACCTTCCATCTCCTCTGACAGCTGTGGCCTTGAGGTAGCCCTCAAATTAGATGAAAGAATTCACCTCTGGTGGATCCCAGGGACCCTCGAGGACCCCAAAGTTGTACAGTCAGATGGCATCCATCCCCTTGGAGGGCCAGAGTGGTTATGTGGGCAGATGCTGCAGTCAGAACTAGGCCCGCTCCCTGGCAGTGCACTCACCAGACAAAACCCGCGTGTGTACAGCCCATGCTAATTTATTAAACTTCGGCCGGAAGCCATCGTGTGTGATGAAATATATGTAGAGAGTCAGGCCGTCCAGTGTGCAAACTGCAAGGCCGTTGAGGTCATTGGGCTAATAGATGAGGCATAGAATACTATCGATATGTGCAATTGCATAAATATTAAATTATGTTTTTGAAGTTCAACTGTCATTCCTGGAGCTCAAATTTCATTTGCTATTGCTTTATATTTTATTTACCCAAGGACATCGCCTCAGGGTTGCAACTCCTTTAAGGAAAATTTATCCATGTATCCATGTATTGTATAAAAGAATAAAAATTGAGTGTACTTCACTTGACCTGATTTTTTTCCCCCCCACTAGTTTTGAATTCCTCTTGAAACTACATCTCCGAGTATTTCATCGAGATAGGGCCAGCCTGAACAAAACCAGGGCTGCATCTAAGCTAATGTGTTGACTTCATTTGAATTTACCTGTTGGTGTAGCAACACAAACACCCTTCACTGGTGTACACACTTTAGTCGCTGCGCTTGTCCTATGTAACGTCTTAACTCATAGGTTTCATAATCATTTTCATATTTTTTTCCAAGCATGCCTGGGCTCGATCTTAATTTATAGCCACATTTGAAATTGAATATAGCTCATGTTGTTGTTTTCTGAGAACTCACAGAATCATTGCATGACAGACAGACCCAGCCTGCAAGCGGTTAAAAGCTTTAACTCGATCTCAAGAAGTCCGTATGAATTGCACGTGAAAAGGCAGACCACTACAAAGCTGGGGGAGGAGCCACCTGCAGAGCCCGGCTTCTTTGCACCGTGCTGCCCTTCGCTTTAGAGTCAGAGGGTGGAGTTAGACACAACCTAGAAATGTCAGACTGGCCTGTGGGCTCCTCCAAGAAAGTAACATTATCTGCCCCCCCCCCAAAAAAAAAAATCGGTTCTTGAAGGACTGTGTGAGTATTAAACAATGGACTGTGTGAGTGAATCACATGTGATTATGCTTTTCCAAGGTCCAGGAGTGGCGTTTAAGCTGTACACCAAACTCAGAGACAAGGTCTGTCAACTGCAGGCCCTGCAGCCTGGCTCCTGGCAGCATCACGCAGAGGGCCCCACTCAGAGCACCTGTCCCGGTGTTTATCTCAGGTTCCTTTCGGCCAGATGGGGCTCCGAGGCTTCGTCCGCCCGACTCTCTTTGTGACGACCTGATTCCTGGGTTTACAGCTCTTCGCCCCCCAACAGGAAGCCCTGCCACAAGTGTGATTAGATTGCTCAGCACCCATCCGTAGTTACCTATACATTTGCTTGATCCACAGGGTCCAGTGATCTCATGCCTGGAAATACCACCTAGGTTTGAGTTTGTTTAGTTTGCGTGTTGTGTTTTCATTTGAATATTTTTGATGTCTGCGGTTTCTGCCATGACCTGAGTAGGACCTGCAGTGTTCTGTGTCTCCAGAAATAACGGTTCAGCATCTTCCAATGCTGCAGAATTTGTTTTGCCTCAATTTAAAGTAGCCATAGCCAACGGATGGAATGAATGATCATCTCCTACTAATCTTTCTGGTCTTGTAAGTCACTGAAACATCAAGTTCGTTTCAAGGATGGACACATGTTGAAGGGAAAGCTCACCACTATCCAAATCCGCATGACTGAGAGCCCCTACAGCTTTCACGCAGCTGAGACGCTTTTAACAGCCAGAAAATGTTATCAAATGAATATTTGATTGTGTTTTCTCTCTCCACTTCCTCTCACCCACTTTAGAAATTCCAGAGATTTTTCCCCCAGCAGAATATTAGTTTTGGAAGATTGTATCCAGCTATATTTTTTTAGCAGTTCTAATGGTGCCCATTTATCCTGACCTAGCCGGTTATTTAAATAATTTTTTAAGCCACCACCAATAATAAATGGCATGTGAAACTGGTCTGTTGGTAATTGGAAGAAAACTCAGCATCTGTATTTATAAAATAAAATTGATTAGTATTTATTTTGAGAGTAAAAGTGTATGTTATTTTCCTGCTATGTTTGAGTCATGTTTTCTTCATTGTTTTGAATTTCATATTGAAGCTGAGTTAAGTATGGAGACCTTGTTCTCAGTCAGCCAGCCATTCCACATTTATTAAACTAAGTAGCGCGCTCGCTCTCTCTCTCTCTCTCTCTCTCTCTCTCTCTCTCTCTCTCTCTCTCCTTTCTCTCTCTAGTTAAACAAGGCTAATACAAAGATTAATAAGCCTTGACCTCTGCCACATTCTCCAGGGGAAAAGTGAGGTAGTTCTGTGAACAATTGTAATTCCGTGTGATGAATGATATACTAAAGGGACACGCGGCATAGGAGCGGGGTGCAGAGAAAGCCACGCTGACTCGGGGATCAGGAAAGGTTCACGGAGGGTCATGCAGATGGAAAGCTATGTAAAATCGCACATCACAGATGGAGGGGACCGCATGGCAAAGGACGAGGCAAGGTGGGGTCCTGTGTGTGTGCAGAGCAGCAAGAAGTGTGCTGTGCGTGGGGTCCGAGCAGATGTGAAGAAGGGTGAGAGGAGAAGTTGAATTGCAGGCCCGTGGGAAGGACTTAGGTGCCAAGTCAAGAGACGGATTCATGCGGTGGGCAACTCAGTCCCCTCGCAGGCTCACGGGCGGAAGAGGAGCCGGTTAGATCTGAATTGTGCCTGGCAGCCACGCTGAAGCTGGACGGTAGTGATACTTGCTTGAGTCTCTTTAATCTTTCCTTTTTGTTAAAAAAAAAAAAAAAAAAAACTGTCTGAAAAAGAGGTGCATCCATGTGTCCCTCCAATTTCAGGGTAAAGATGGAATAGCAAACAAGGTTTACTGTGGGGTACAAAGAGCGCGGCCAGCATGAACCCCCAACTCAGCCACTGTGAAGCTCTGACAGGTCAAGTCGTTGTTCTTCTAAGGACCCCACTTTTCCATCTGTAGGAGCGTGGAGAGAAGGCTGCCCTTGCCGTTCCGTTTGCACGGGGCCTGCATCATCACTGTCGGTTCCCTTATGTCCTGTGGAGGCCACTGCGTAGTGACAGGGTCCCCGGGACTCGTTCCCACCATGACCTGTCCCAGCGCTTGGGCCGGGCGAAGCCACTTCGTCCCTCTGAATCCCGCTCCTCAGCTGTGAAGTGGGGTGATACCCACGCACCCCCAGGGCCGGACGGTGAGAAGGAGATAAACATTTGTAAGAAAGAAAGCACTGAATCTTTGTGAAGCGCCGTGCGATGGGGAGGAGCCAGCCCTTCAGCAAGGACGGCTTGCATCCTGTGTCTCCGGCTGTGGTGGGACGGTTCCTCCTGTGCCCACGGAGGGGGTGCCAGGACTGAACTGTGGAGGAACCAAGCTCTAAACAAATGGCAAGTGTCTCGGGTGTTTGGGTGGGTGGCATGGACACATTGTGGTGACACAGCCCAGAGGCCTCAGGAGCGTTTTTTTCATGTTTCTTACCACCTGGCAGATGGCCTTATCTAGGCCCACCTCATCCAGGCACATTCTCTCAGAGCTTCCGGCCGCCTCGCTCGATGATTGCTGAATTGGTGCCCGGAGCTCTTAATTTCACTTAAGTAGATAGAAGCCTTTCCCCGCCTCCCCCCCCCCCCCCCCTTTTCCTCTTAGCGCATCTAATTACAGTTTTGTAGGTAGACAGCTCAGCCTTGTGGATTTTAAATGAATAAAAAATACATGTCTATGAAATAATTCCACACTTTGTAGAGACTGGCAGCGTCAGCAATCCAGAAAGAGAGCAGCCGTGCATAGAGATAAATGAGAGAAATTCAGCCAGTGCGATAGCTGCAGCAGCCGGCCCAGGCCCAGGCCGCCTGGGGGGGGAGCACAGGCCTGGATCCCTTTGGTTTTGTACAGAGAGGCTTCTCACAGTCCCCGCTAGATCACAAGCAGCAAATCTGGAAGGAGTGGAGAGTGGGAGAGATCAGGACGAACCTGCCGCTGAGAAGCACCTACGAGCAGGCAGGAAGGAAGCAGTCTGGACACCTCGAGTGAGGGGCCCACAGCCAGGCGGGGTGCAGAGCCCTGCCCTGCCAGTTCAGGCTGTGTGACCCGGGCCAGGCGCTTGACCTCTCTGGGCCTGTGCCCTCCTCCTCAGCCCGGGGCTTAGGTTTTCCCCGAGGCCGAGACAGAGACTCCTCCTGCTCCA